TAAATAAAGGTTGAAAAAAAAAAATTTTAAAAAAAGAAAACAAACAAAAAAATGATGCCTGAGCCCTGTCTCAGACCAATTGAATCAGAGTCTCTGGGGGTAGCATGTAGGTAGCTATATATTTTCAACTTCTTATTGAAGTATAGTTTACACATAGAAAAGCATGTGTAGGAGAGATGCCTGGGTGGCTAAATGTCTGACTCTTGATCTCGGCTCAGGTCATGATCTCACAGTTTGTGAGATTGAGCCCCACGTCAGGCTCTGGGCTGACAGCTCAGAGCCTGCTTGGGATTCTCTCTCTGTCCCTCCCCTGCTTGCACTCTCTCTCTCTCTCCCCCTCTCTCTCTCTCTCTCTCACACACACACACACACACACACACAAACACTAAATAAACTTTAAAAAAAAAAGAGTACATAAAATAAATGTACAATTCAATGCATTTCACAAATAGAACACACTTGGAAACCAGCCCCCAGAAGCCCCTCCTGCCTCTTTCAGTCTCACCACCACCCCCAACCTGCCACCCACAACCCACAACCCACAAGAATAACCATCACCCTGGTTTCCACAGCACAGGTTGCCTCTGCCTCTTCTTTGTGGACTTTCTATGAACGGAATCATACCATACATACCCTTTTATGTGGCTCCTTTTACTCAGCAATGCATCTGTGGGATTCGTCCACAGTGTTGTGTGTAGCTATTAATTGTGCATTTTCACCAATGTTTAGAATTCCGTTACACAGACATACTACAACTTATTCATTTTACTATAGATGGGCATCTGGGAAATTTCCAGTTTTTGCCTGTTATGAAAGTGTGGCCAGGAACATTCCAGCACCTGTAGTGTGGACACAAGTATTCATTTCTATGGGCAAACACTTAGGATTTGAATTGCTGGGTCATATGTTCAGTTTCAGGCTTTTAAAGCATGAGTGGGGGAGGGGCAGAGAGAGAGGGAGACACAGAATCTGAAGTAGGCTCCAGGCTCAGCACAGAGCCCGATGTGGGGCTTGAACCCACAAACTGTGAGATCATGAGCTAAGCGGAAGTTGGACACTTAACCGTATGAGCCACTCAGGCGCCCCTCCAGTGATTTTAAACATGCAGCCAGTGTTAAGAAACTGCTGTGCATGAATCCTGCCCCCACTTCTCTCTTTTTTTTGTGGCTCAGAGGGAGAAGCATGGCTCCTGGAATTCAGGGCCAATCCTCTTGCCTGGGCTCTGGATCTAGGGCCCTGACCCTCCTATGCCTTCACCCTGCCCCTCTAAAGTTCCAGGAACACCCTTGGCAAGACAGGAATCACATTGTTAATAGAGATTTCCTTCATCTGTTAAGGTCACAGAGCACATTTACTAGCTCGTGCCAAGGAAGTAAGAGCAGCTTTCCGTGCGGCAGAGGCTGGCTCTGTGTCCTTCCCGAAAGCCTCCCTACGTCCTCCCAGGGCCACAGTCCTGACACACAGCCCAGAAACCAGTTGACAAGAGCTCTGCCGAAAGGAAACTGGAATAATGTCAATAGAATCGGGCTTATCATCAGTACTCCAAAACTTGAAGATAGGGCGTCTGGATGGCTCAGTTGGTTAAGCAGCCGATGACTCTTGATTTCGGTTCAGGTCATGATCTCACAGTGGGTTTGTGAGTTTGAGCCCCGAGTCAGGCTCTGCTCTCACAGTGCGGAGCCTGCTTCATATCCTCTGTCTCCCGCTCTCTGCCCCTCCCCCACTCACATTCTTTCTCTCTCTCTTTCTCTCTCTCAAAAATGAATAAATGTTGAAAAAATTATTTTTAAAAAATAAATAAAACTTGGGGCACACAGGTGGCTCAGTTGGTTGAGCATCCAACTCTTGATTTCGGCTCAGGTCACGATCTTGCGGTTTGTGAGTTTGAGCCCCGCATCGGACTCCACGCTGATGGTGAGAAGCCTGCTTGGGATTCTGTCTCTCCCTCTCTCTGCCGCTCCCGAGTTCATGCCCTCTCTCTCTCTCTCTCTCACTCAAAACAAATAAATAAATTTTAAAAATAAATAAAATGAAGATAAAAGGTACTCTTTTGCAAAAAATAATTCTGTTATTTTTACACAGAAGCTGCCTCTCACTTTATTTTCTTTTTTTTTTTTTTTTAATTTTTTTTTCAACGTTTATTTATTTTTGGGACAGAGAGAGACAGAGCATGAACGGGGGGGGGCAGAGAAAATGAGACAGAATCGGAAACAGGCTCCAGGCTCTGAGCCATCAGCCCAGAGCCCGACGCGGGGCTCGAACTCACGGACCGCGAGATCGTGACCTGGCTGAAGTCGGACGCTTAACCGACTGTGCCACCCAGGCGCCCCTCACTTTATTTTCTAAGCAAATATTCCTTATGTAGGACCACTGCTTTGCTGTCTCTGCTGACAAGAAATGGGGAAAGAATCCTGAGTGTAAGGGGGTGGCGTTCAGTGAACTGGGGGCCACACACTGGGTCCCAATCCAGCTGTCCCACTCAGCAGCCCTGGCCAAGGACTCAGGAGGGACGGGCACCCAGCGCAGGCACAAACCCTGCCTACCACGGGCAGGTCTGAGAACACCTGGGTCAGCAATGTGCTTAGTTCCCTTTTACTCACTGTGGCAGCAGCTTTGAAATGAAAGGGGATGTGGAGGGCCAGGCATCCTGCTTCCCAAGATGCCACAGTCTGTACCAAATGACCCTGGCTGCCACCAGCAGAACCATGGTGTGCTCTAGACCCACACAAAGCCATCTGTAAGCTGACCAGCAGCCTCTTTGGAGGAAAAGATGAACTTTGGCCCATACGATTCCATTTCTAATGGATCCCAATGGGGACATAAGAGATGGGAGGTGTGCAGCCAGAAGCAGTAAACAGGCAGGAGGGAGGTATACTGCAGGGACCCTGGAGCAGAACCTTCGGGTGCCCCTGGAGCTGGGTCTAGAACAAGGGAAGAGGGAGCAGAGAGCAGAGACCAGCAGGGGTGCATGGGCTGGGAGAGAGCAAAGAAGGTCTGCCCCCCTTTCAGCCCATTAATTTTCACTTCTGCAGTCGGTGCCCCAGCACTGCCTCTCCTGAAGCTTCTCCAGTAGACAGGAAAAAGGGGAGACCTGAAGGGGGTCTCTTGGGCTGAGATGGCCATGCAGGGGCCCCTCTGAGAAGTAGGATTCCCTAGACCAGAACCCTTCCCACCCTCCCACCCCTCTCGAAGCCTTTATCTTCTCTGCTCAAAGAACCAAACAAACTGGGAGAGCTAGTTGTTCAGGAGGAGATATGAGCTAGCATAGCCCTCTGGGGGTGGCTGCATCCAGCCTGAACAAGGACCCCTTTGAGCTCTGGTGCCTACAAGAACTCCTACCTACAGGGATCTCAGAACCCTCTGGGCGCTCCACCCAGTGGGAGCTGGGAGGGCCGAGAGCAAGGCTGGCTCTATCTCCCACTCTTGGCAGCCAAGATGCTGCCCACTGCCCAGGTCTCTCTGTGGAGCCCAGAGCTAGTTAGCCAAGCCCTAATTAGAGGTTAAATGGTTAAAGGGCTCCAATCCCACTCTTCCCTGCTCCTAGAACTCTCCCCCATGGCATGGGCTCTCCCAGCACACTAGAAAGGCCCAGGTCCTTACAGGGATGGAATTCAGGATCAAAGTGCTCAGGCTGACTCCTCTTGGGCATTCAGGAGGAGTGCTAATGAGCTGCCCTCCCAGTTCTGCCTGGGTCCTGCTTAGCTAACCTGCTCCTGCCCAAGATGGAGACCCTCTCTCTCTCTCATCCCCCAACACTTCCCTGAAGCCTAGCCAGCTGGTAGGCTGGGAGAGCAGACCCCTCCCACCTTGTCTCCACTCGCCGTCTGCGTCTGCTCAGGTATCTTCACTGTTGTATCCCCTGTTTATGTGGTTGTCTCCCCACTAGACTATCTTTCTTATTCATCTCTCACCCTGGGGCCACACACAGCTTCAGGCATACAGTAAGTGCTCAATAACTGTGTACTGAATAAACAAACACTCCCTGCTGAAAAGCTCCTTTGTGTAGTTTGTTCAGCCACACTGGGACCTTGGAACACAAACACAAGAGCTGGAGTGAGAGCAAGTCACTTGAGTTTGCTTCTGGCTGCCCTTGACCTCCTAGGTGGCCTCCAGTCCCCTTCCTCTGGGTCTGCTCCCCTATAAAATGGGGAAAATCCCCTTGCTGACCTGAAAATTTTCAGGGCTGCTGTGGGGATCTGAGAGGTCATGGCCTAGCCCCAAGGAGGGGACTGGTCCTCACAGCCTTGTCCACTGAGCCTCCAACCCCCTGCCAGCCCCACTAAGAGCTCTGCATCCCGTCATGTCCCTTGAAGGATGTCAAGAGGTGTAGCTGCAGAGACGGTGCACTGCCAGGCCCCAAACTGCACCCTGAAGCTCCACACACGTTCTGCATGACTGAATCTTTTCCTTGGGACTTCAGCCAGAGAGCCTCCAAGGGCAGGGCCCTCTTTGCACCTGGGCCACACCCAATAACTGCTCCCACCCGGGGGGG